ATAAGTTGGAGCGAATGCAAATATACTTAGATAAGATCTATTTTTAAACTCAGCCAACATGGGTGAAGAATGATCAGTTCATCACCATAGCACATATTTGCATTCCGACACCCAACTTCCAAGCATCGGTGGTTCAGTGGTAGAATGCTCGCCTGCCACGCGGGCGGCCCGGGTTCGATTCCCGGCCGATGCAACGTTTTTTTTTGACGCTTGACTAAATACTTAACTAAGTATAACGTTTAATTTTCAAGCTATTTTTATAAAGCTCGCGTAAATCACATTTATTAATACTTGCAAATTTGTAGCTCATTTAACCACTGTGAACTCGGTACATTAGCACTCACTTTTTATGCTACTCTTGTGCGTTTATAATTAAACTAGATCTTGTCTGAACGAGCGTAAATGTCAAGTGTTTCATGTAATAATGACCATTTGGGCAGCGCACTAAAAACAAACAAGTAAAATATTCACGAAGCCATTAAAAAAGTGAAAATCATTTTAGATGCCTTGGTCAGTGACCAAAAACAGGGACGGAATCAACTCAAGAGTAAGGAAAGCAAGTTGTTGTAAATTATTTGGTGTGGGAACTGTTGCTTATTTTATAATCCATCATTAGTGTGATTTATATTATATTATTCAAGTGTTGCAATTTGCTGTACGACTCTTTTCTAACAGGTTTTAATACTACAAAGGCCTTTAATTTAATGGGTTGTGCATGTGGCTAGTATATCACTTCTTACTACTAACTAAAAGAAGAAATACGTTTTTTCTCCTACTCAAAGAGCAATTTATTCTTCTCAATGTTTTGATACTTTATATCTATTATTGGCTATATAGGAATATCCCCTTTCAACCCAAATCCGCCCCTGGGATTTAGTGACCGCATGGCATATATCACGTTCGGAGGGCCATTTAAGAAGGTCAGTTTTTCCAGCTGGAGCCCAGAAACCGGAAGGGCAAGGTCTTATTCGCTCTAGAACAAGCCAAGAAACTTTCCCAAAAAAGAAAACAAACACGCAGCTACATTTTTTGGGTTTTCAGAAGTTTAATAGGTCTCTCGTTTCGGTCTCAACTAAATCTAGAATAAATAACTTAGCGTCTATGCAAGTAACTTAAGGTGGCAAATGTGGAAAAATTCTCAACAATTTGGAACGGCTTAGTCGGTGCACTTGGAGGCGAGGGTGCACATGAGGGTCTTGGGGCAGAAGAGCAGGCTCTTGGAGCAGCTCATCTTGTGGCCCTTCATCTGACCCTGGGCATTCTTGTAGCACACAAAGTAGCTGGAAATGGAGGTCTGGTCCGGGATCTTATCGCCCTCCTTGCAGTAGTACTTCCTCTTCTTTGCGGTACTCGACGATCCACCACTACTCACGTTACTACTGCTCTGGATGATGGTGGGTCTGCTGGTGGTGGTGGCCAGACTGACTTCTGGCAGGTTGACTACGTACGAGTCCACAGGATCACTTTCCACGTTAGAGGATATGCCAGGCTGCGACTGCTGAGTGCTTCCGTATTGCTGGAGCAGACTGGCTATGCTCTGGGCCTTCAAGGCAGCCTCCTGCCTCCTCTTGGCCTCACTCAGCATCTTGATGGCCTCCATCTGGAGCCTCCTATTGTTGTCTATGGTGTAGCCACTGAAGGCAGGAATCACATTGCTGCACTGTGCATAGGTGGGGGCATCGCAAATCCTGGTCTGCTTATTGAAGGCCGTGTAAGGCGGACAGGAGTAGGACAGGACCTTGCCATCCTTTTTGCTGCAAACGAAATATCGCGTGCAGTCAGTTTGATTGGGCTGCCTAACGCCCGCCTGACAGGTGATGACCTCCACGTTTCCCAGCTCACTGAGGGCGGACGGCGACTTGGTCATCAGGGGGAGTATGGATTTCTGGAAGACATCCAGGCTGATGAAGTTCCCATTGAAGTTTACCAGCTGGCCGTTGGCCGAAGTACTCCCTGGGTACTTCATGCTGCCGCCCTTGAACGGATTAAGATTCGGACTGCTGGTGAACATGCTCATCTCCATGTTGCCTTCCGAGTCGCTATATATACTGCTGCTCATGGTGGGTCTGGGCCTGGGCCTGGGCATATATGGATGGTGGTGCTGCTGCGGCTGCTGGTGGTTATAACTCTGCTCCAGATAGTCATTCGAAGGTGCTAATTGCTGGCTCATGTCGCTGCTGTAGGTCAGTACGTGAGGAAGAGTGTTCCCATTCCCATTCCCAATCCCAATTCCAGAGCCACTTTGATAGTTGGCCTTAATCATATCTTCGTCCATCTCCATGCTTTCGATTTTCTGCGAATTGGGTCGAATGCTCACCCTGTCCGCATCGATTTGCCCCGGAAACATGTCCATGGGTCGGGGCATATTCATCGTGGGATACGACTCGGTGGGTTGGTATACCCTATTGGCGTTGTGCTCACCCAGATGCGGACTTGGGGTGTAGTAGGTGGCCACTGTGGCGGCTGAGGGTTGCTGCTCAAAGGGTCGCGGGGTGGTCAAGGTGTAGTCACTGGCGAACGGGGACTGGGATGCGTACTGCGCGGAGTAGGTGCTGGCAGTGGTCGCGATCGTAACCGGCCGAGATGTGGTCATGTACTCCATGCCACTGGCCTGGCTGGCGGTCACATGCTTATCCATGCTGGGATATACCCCCAAACTATTGCCATACGTGTCCAGCACCTCCTTTTCGCCCGAACTCGTGCTGGATAGGTGAACAGGTATCACATTGTTGTGAATAATGGTGGTGCTTGGCTTGCTGTAGCCATTGTTCGACGAACTGCCTCCAGAGGAGTGCTTCTTGTGCTGCATGTAGTGCGGACTTAAGGGAGGCGGCATGCCGTAGTACTGCTGGAAGGGATTGCCCTGGGGGGACACAAAAAGCGGCTGCAGAATGGGCTGGTAGTAGGCACCATTGAAGCCCGGATTGGGCAGCACCTTGGGCAGGTTTTGTGCTGCTATCATCTGCTTGGACAGTTCCAGAACCGTCTTTAAAGTGTCCTCCGATATCTTGGGCTCATGATCGCTGTACTCGTGACTTTGGGCGGGATGGTGGTTTACATAGGAGCCCTGTTCCTGGCTCAATCCATAATTGGGCGGCAGGGCGAACATCACAGAGCCTTCGGGGCGATTCACCACTATCTGGGAGTTGGCATATCCCTGACCAGTGGTACCATGCGAGGAGTAAGGCACGGCATTGTTGAGGATTAGTTTCGTCTCCGGCTCCAGGCGATGGTGGCTGAGGTGCTCCTGCAGGCGGGTCTTATTCGAGGTGGGTTCCGGTAGCCTTGGCGTTGTTCTGGGTGCTTCTGTGGTACTGCTGGTGGTGGTAATCTTGGCAGAGGTGTGTTCCAGGGGGTTCATCATTTCATACCGGTTCTTTATGTCAAAGTGCGCCAGGAAGGCATTCAACTGGTCTGGGCGCATTTCCGTCTGAGGCTTATCTGTCTTCTGGTAGGTCTGCTGCAGTCCATCAATCAGCTGGGATAATCTCTGCAGGTGAGCAGTCAAGCTGGGATCGATGGGAGATCCTGGCTTGGCTATTTCGCTGATACCAGCCGCCTGCTTAAGTTCCGTTCTCAGCTTTTCCACCTCCGTTCTGTGTTCCATGCTGCTGGAAGTCACCTCCTCACGGTTCTCAGGCTTCAGAGCAGCGGGAGACTCCAGTTCCACCAGTTCCCCATCGCCGCTCGAGTCGAAATTGTGACTGGAAGAGATGTCCTCGTCCGGTACCGCCTTGCTCTTGGCCGCCTCCTCATTCTCATCATTCTCCTCACTGCTCAGTGTGGAGTCCAGAACTATTTCCACGGTGCCATCGTCCTTGTGGCTGGCTGACTCCCTCAACAGCAGACCCGCCTCATCCATGTCGTTGACTATCAGTAAGTCCGCGTCCGGCCTTCCAGGCGACTGCGTGGAGCTCATCTCACTCGGGGTGATGCACTCCCAATCCTCGCCAGGCAGAACGCAGCTGCCCAAACTGGACTCGAACACCAGTCCCTCGTTGCATTTAACCGGAATCCAAACGTGCGAGTTGGAGGGCAGTTCCCGGCACCTGTAGAAGGCGTCGCAGCGGGTTTTGTGGGGGCGTGTCTTTTCAGGGCACGGTTTGCCTGGGTTAAGCAAGTGCAGAAATGGGGAAAGGAGTTATGTACACATTAATATGGGAAAAATAGCACTTTGACTTTAACGGAAATTTTTGAATAAAATGTTTTGGTTTTCCTACAATTTTAATATATTTTAAAAGCAATGGAATGTGTTTTCCACATTTTTGTAACAATTGTATCTTCTCATTTGAAGACATATGATATTTATAAATACTTCATTAAGTGGGATTCAACTTCTTTAGTTAGTTATGTTAATACATTTATGAACATTTTCCTTTAAAATTAGGAAAACCAAAACTGATCGATTAATTATGTAAAGTTCTGTCACAATTCACTTCCTGCCGGAGTTTACCTTCGGAAAAGTAAAACAAACCCGCGACCAACGCGTAAACCAACAGCTGCCTCATCGCGTATCCTTTCCGCGTATCCTTATGCGCAGTCCGTAACCGTAACTTCCGATCTGCTCCGTTCGAAGCCCGCGTCACGAATGACTGCGGATCCAGAGCGGTCGGCACATTAAATTTTGATAATTTTCACTTTGAGCCGCGTTCTCCGAAACTCGGACAATGTGTGAAAAAGTCCGAAAGCGAACAAACAACACAGTATACGATGGATTTTCTTAGCCTCTCCGCTCTCAGTGCTCGTATTTAAAACGAGTGCTAATAATTGTTTAAACAAATAGTTTTTGTGCTACTGGAAAGATCGGAGAATCAAGGAAATTTCACTTTTTGTGCGCAGTTTGTTTGGCTAAAAGTGCAATATAACGTGAAACTGGTAGATTTAGTAACCATAAAGTAAGTAATAGAGATAAGCTAATGAAGGCTTGCGGGATTGAAAAAAAGAGCACAGGTGTTACGCCATCAGCAAAGATTTTATTATTTTTATAGAAAACACTTCTTTTAACCTAATACTTCCTCCTCTGTCTGGCAAATAAACCGGAAGGTATAGTTGCATGGGTAATCGTACATTTCCCCATTGTATAGGAATACGCAGTTGGAGGTGTCCAACTGAGAGGGTCTCCCTGAGGCCCATTTTAAAAAGGTAGCTGGCTGGCCCGTGGACATGGACAAGAATTCGCCCTCTTTGCCCAAGTCGTTGATTCCCAGCCAGTAATGAGTGTCCTTCTCGAGATTTGCTTGAATGGCGGCTAGATCTGCCTCGTCCTTAATGTCGGCCAGGTGACCTCCCATATTGCGACAAGTTTTTGAAGCAGTGGGCCAGTTCTTCTCAGATACTTTCTCTATGTAAAAGTACTTGGAGCCGATTTGCTCGAAGCCGAGGTATTTAATTTTAATTTCCACATTGTGAAGTGTTGCCTGTAAAGCCCAAAGTTGGCTTTCCAAGTCATACAGTCGTCCAGTTAAATTCTGTTGGTTGATATCCAGTCTTCCTTCTTGGGCATCTAGTGCGGCCCCAAGGCTTGTTTGCTTTTCCTGAAGAGCAGACAATTGGCGTTCCATCGTGTACTGTCTCACCAGGACCTCGTTAGCTTTGCTCGCATCACTGGAATTCGACACATTGTGGGGAATGGTCAGGTGATTTATCAATGGCGTCAGTACAATTAGGCAGAATCCTCCGCACTGGTTAGGAGGGTCCTTCAGAGGACAATTTAGATCGGACTCTGCTAAAGTTCCATTCAAATTTAAAGCAAGAAGCCCGAACAGCAAAGCAATTGCGAATTTCAACATTTAAGAACTTTTAACGCCAAACGCGAAGTTATTCGATACACTGAGTCCCCGCTTTTATATTACCTGGGAAGCACCTCATTAAATAAAATTGAAAGAAATTCAATGAGCAATGCCATTGAGTAATGAATATTAATGAACCTGCTAATTTATATAATGAAATAAACTTAGTTAATTTAAAATAAAATCGGATAGACCAGCAGTACCAGCTCAGTATTTGTGTGTGACTTTGTGTATGGTTATTGGCACTGATGAACGAATATTAAATTACGTCCATCTTGTTTGAATACTTTTATTTACTCAAAGTTAGGTGATTATAATGATCGTTGGCGGTCTTTTTCAAATCTGGTTGGTAACTCTATTTTAGCCACGTCCGGCAGCTCTAGTTGCACACGTAAGTTGGCAATATAGCGAGTACGCCAACCTCGTCTAGCGAGGGTACAAACCTCACGAAGTTACTTGAGCCTATCGATTCGCGCACTGAGTGGCAGCATCAGTGGTATCGAAAAATATCGTCCAAAGTTGCAGCTCTAGAAATTGCTGCTTGCAAGCGAAACAAAATAACAAATAAACAATTAGTGCAGCGATATCAACTACTCGCGATTACGTGGACCAAAGCGAGGGCGGCAGCGCCAACTAGTGCAATAATCCAGCCATCAATTTCGTGGCCCGGGAAACTCAATTAAGAATTCCGCACACACACACACATGCAGCCGCACACAGGAGACAACAATCACTCACACAGGCGCAAGTTGTAGGAGCACCAGAGCCAGAAGAAGAAGCAGCAGAAGGTAAGGCGCAGGTAGAAAGGAAAACGGAGGAGAGAAACCCACAGAAATTGCTAAAAACAAAAAGGAACGCCTCTTGCATTGGAATTTGTCAGCGGTAGCAGCGGGCGCAGCGAGTGCGAGCGGGACGGAAGTCGCGACCTTTGCCTCAATTACAAGCACTCACACACACACGCCCACCCACAGAAGGAGTGGGAGTGGGAGAGGTAGTTACCTTTTTTTTGGCGTGCGTTACATGACCACGGATATACATATATATATATTTATATATGTGTACTATATAGTGCCGCTGTGTGGGTGACTAAGCCCTGCGGTCGATAATAATTCAAGGAAGTTCAAGTTCCCCTCAGCACCCAACCCTCCCCTGACCGCCCGTGGAAAGTGCATTCTAGACTTATTGACAGCTGTTGCTGATTACTTCGCTTGGCTCGCGCTCCGGCTGCCCCACCAGATAGCTTCCCTTTGTTCATCGGCCCACTGATAAGCACTCGAATGATAAGCGAAATGAGCCGGATAGTGCGTGCTAATTGATCGGAGGAATGTGTCCCATTGATCGATTTCAATCTGGCCGCAGAACCTGATGAGTAAACACTAATGGTAAACGAGCTGCACTTGCTCACGTGTTCTGGGCCAATTAATGCAGTGAAAACGCCAGCAAAAGGGAAATCGCAAGCGGTACACGGCGAGAAAAAAATGTGGTTATCAGCATTTTGAAAAGCAAAGCAAAGAAGCAATGTGATTTCAGCCCAGACTACAGTACATAAGTACATAACTAAATTCCTTATGTGTTTCTTGGTTTGTGTATCGCTATATCGTTTCCTACGCACAATCAATGTGCTTTAGCTATCAACAATTGAAACTGAATTCACTTGCCGTTTTCTTTTTCGTGCGGTCGATGATGACTCACATGGCAACATTATTATACAATCTATTGTGTGTTGGGGTGTTTGCTATCAAAATTATGGATGACCAGCAATCGGCGCGGAGTGTGTACGAAAAAGTACAGGGAAACACACACGCACACACCCGTGACAGTCGCAAATTATGGAGAAAATTAATAGGCCATAATACGGTGCTTCCCAGAAGTGTAAAGTCCACGAATTAAAGTGCACTAATCATTAAAGTTTTTCAAGGGAGTTTCTTCAGAATTTAAGCTTTCTTCAATCAATTGGAACTTTGGCGTCCCTTAGTCACAGCAATGCATGTATTTTGCAGAAGCAGAAAAATTAATGTGTATTTTAATAATCAGTAAACCAGTAATCATGAATAATTTCGCTTGAATTTATATTTTGTTTCGTTTTAGAATATAAATAACATACTTTTTCTGTAAGAGTATTGATGTTTTCCCAATTGTTTAGTAAGCGAGTTGAGTAAGTTGTTGTTCAAGCAGTTTATATCACCAAAAAAGTGAAGCCCTATTCGCAAACACAGTTTGGTTGCCATACTGGCGCTTACACTATATGTGTAATACACAAAGCTAAAAAGGCCATATCTTATCTCCGGATAGTCGCATTCACAATGATATAGAGTCAGGCATTATCTGCCTCTCAAGATTAGGTGCTTAAGTAGCCGAGTTAAATGCGACTAAGGGAAACTGCATAACACCAAAAAAGTGCTTAGAAAATCCCAATTCCAATATCACCCTGTTAGCTGCACAGTCTTTTAGTAAACATATGTACATATTTAATTATTTGTTTTCTAACAATAGTGTACACTATACTTTTTTTCGGAAAGTTATTACCACTCTATAAAAGCTTACTGTTCAACAGCGTTGTATATTTTTGGGTATTGATAAACCATTTACGTATGTAGACTGTGTTCCGGTCTTATCTTATCAGCTCCAAAACACGCAATTTCCCATTCGATGCTTTCAACCACCAATAGTCGACACCACCATACTCAATACTCGCTTTCTCTTTCAGAACGACAGCTCCCGAGGTGGTGAAGGTCACCCAGAGGGAGGAATAGAACGTGGAGGAGGAGGCGGAGCAGCAGGACCACTCACACACTCAGCCACTAAATGGCCGATGGAAATGGGCTGCCAGCGGGTGCAGCTTCCGGCAGCATGGAAGCCGGACAGACGGTGAACGGAGCGGGATCCGCCAGCCCAACGCCGACCTCCAGCTCGGGGGCGGGGGCCAGTGGGAGTGGCAATCAAGGATATCATCAATTAAGCGTGACAAGTGAGCAAACAAAAGAAAGTAAAACATTCTGTTCAATCAATAATGGCCTAAAATCCTTTCAGTCGAGGAGGCTTCGCTGCGCAACAATGGCTTCCTCAAGCCAAATCCCTACGTGGAGCTCTTGATTGACAGCAAAAGCAAGCGGAAAACGGACCTGGTAAAGAACAGCTATTTGCCCAAGTGGAACGAGGAGTTTACAGTGCTGGTGAGTAGAAGAAATAATAATAGCCAATTATTTGTGATATCCAATTGGTTTATCGTCGATAGATCACACCCAATTCAACGCTGCACTTCAAAGTGCTGGATCACTCCAGTTTCCGTAAAGATGCCATGCTTGGGGAGCGGATCATTAACCTGGCGCACATTCTGCAGCATTACAACGGGCGGTGCGAGTTCCTTGAGCTGACCATCGACCTGTTCGTCACCAGCAAGTCGGACAATCGCCAGACGAAGAGCGGCGAGCTAGTGGCCATCCTCAATGGCCTCAAACTCGATATGAGCAAGCTGCAGATTCAGCCAGTTGGTGGCCAACAGAATGGCAATCCACCCGTCCAGGCAGTCAATCCGTCGGTGGTCAGTGATGCGACCGCCGGACGAAGTTGCATGATCTACGGTGGAGTACGAGCACGGATGCGACTACGCTCGAGTAGTGGAAATAGCAACGGCGGAGAAAGCCGCTCTCCTCTGCCGAATGGAGGTGGAGATCAAAGGAGATCTACGCAGGCCCCTCCGGTGTGGGAACAGCAGCAACAATCCCAGAATCAACCACAACCCCTGAGAATGGTTAATGGAAGTGGGGCGGCCGTGCCGCAGACAGCTCCGTATCCCCAGCAGCCACCAGCTCCCGCACTAGCTCGTCCTCTAACCCAAGTGTACGGAGCGTTACCGGAGAATACACAACCAGCTGCTGTTTATATGCCAGCAGGAGGAGGAGCAGCAGTAGGACAACCTGGAGTAGCAGGCCCACCAATTGAACAGCCCGGAGTTGGACTGCCTGTGAGCCAAAGCACAGATCCGCAACTGCAGACACAGCCAGCGGATGATGAGCCGTTGCCTGCAGGGTGGGAAATCCGTCTGGACCAGTATGGTCGGAGATACTACGTAGATCACAATACACGATCCACATACTGGGAGAAACCGACACCGCTGCCGCCCGGCTGGGAAATCAGAAAAGATGGGCGCGGTCGAGTGTACTACGTAGACCACAACACAAGAAAAACTACCTGGCAGCGGCCGAATAGTGAGCGCTTGATGCACTTCCAGCACTGGCAAGGTCAGCGGGCTCACGTTGTCTCTCAGGGTAACCAGCGATACCTGTACTCCCAGCAGCAGCAGCAACCAACGGCGGTGACAGCGCAGGTGACGCAAGACGACGAGGATGCACTGGGTCCACTGCCAGATGGATGGGAGAAGAAGGTAAAGCCGTTTCTCCACATTCAAAAAACTAGTTATTTCAACGCATTTCTTAATTTACCATGAACAGATTCAATCGGACAACAGAGTGTACTTTGTCAACCACAAAAACCGAACCACCCAGTGGGAAGATCCACGCACGCAGGGCCAGGAGGTGAGCCTGATCAACGAGGGTCCGCTTCCACCCGGCTGGGAAATCCGCTATACAGCCGCCGGTGAGCGCTTCTTCGTGGATCACAATACGAGACGAACCACCTTCGAGGATCCTCGGCCAGGGGCTCCCAAGGGCGCCAAGGGAGTGTACGGAGTTCCACGCGCCTACGAGCGCAGTTTTCGCTGGAAGTTGTCGCAGTTCCGGTACTTGTGCCAGAGTAACGCTTTGCCATCGCACATCAAGATCACGGTGACGCGACAAACTCTGTTCGAGGATTCATACCACCAGATCATGCGTCTGCCAGCATACGAACTCCGAAGGCGGCTCTATATAATATTCCGTGGCGAGGAGGGACTGGATTATGGTGGAGTATCTCGCGAGTGGTTCTTCTTGCTTTCCCACGAGGTGCTGAATCCCATGTACTGCTTGTTTGAGTACGCGAACAAGAACAACTACAGCCTGCAGATAAACCCCGCCTCGTACGTGAACCCCGATCACCTGCAGTACTTCAAGTTCATCGGTCGCTTTATCGCGATGGCCCTGTATCATGGAAGGTTTATCTACAGTGGATTCACAATGCCATTTTACAAGCGCATGCTGAACAAGAAGTTGACCATCAAGGACATCGAGACGATCGATCCAGAGTTCTACAACTCGCTTATCTGGGTGAAAGATAACAACATCGACGAGTGCGGATTGGAGCTCTGGTTTAGCGTGGACTTCGAAGTGCTTGGCCAGATAATCCATCACGAGTTGAAGGAGAACGGGGAGAAGGAGCGGGTTACGGAGGAGAACAAGGAGGAGTACATCACGCTCATGACAGAGTGGCGGATGACGCGGTAAGCATTTTATTTGATAAGTCACATTATGCTGTCAATATATTTGCTTTATTGGGGGGAATTTTTGACTCGGTATTAACTTATTATTATTACAGTGGCATTGAGCAGCAGACAAAGACGTTCCTGGAAGGCTTCAATGAGGTGGTGCCTCTGGAGTGGCTCAAGTACTTTGATGAGCGCGAGCTGGAGCTTATTCTGTGCGGCATGCAGGACGTGGACGTGGAGGACTGGCAGCGCAACACAATCTACAGGCATTATAACCGCAACTCGAAGCAAGTTGTCTGGTTCTGGCAGGTGGGTTTCCTTTCTGTTCTTTGTGCCCTTCCATTCGCTAATCCGGGTAATTGCCCCCGCAGTTTGTGCGCGAGACGGATAACGAGAAGCGAGCTCGTCTGCTGCAGTTTGTGACGGGCACGTGTCGCGTGCCGGTCGGAGGATTCGCCGAGCTGATGGGCTCCAACGGGCCACAGCGCTTCTGCATCGAGAAGGTGGGCAAGGAGACGTGGCTGCCGCGCTCGCACACCTGCTTCAATCGATTGGACCTGCCGCCGTACAAGAGCTACGATCAGCTGGTGGAGAAGCTGACCTTTGCCATCGAGGAGACTGAGGGCTTCTGCCAGGAATGAGTGGCAGTCGATTTGTGGTCGGTTTGTTGATTAATGTTTAATTCCAGTTAAGCGCCTGCTTTACCGTCCCCACCCCCTTTCCATTTGACGACCACGTTGCGTTAAATAGTTACTGTTATTATTATTATTACATACGTATGTATTACTACTGTATACTGTAAACACCAAACACACACTTTTGTCTGTCTATTCCTATGTTCGCTACCGATATCAAACGTAATATTTGTTAAAAGTGCGCGAAACTTGAAAACGATGTATGAATGTATTGAGAGAGAGCCTATTTTAGAGATATTTATAATTTTTTAGGCATAATTTATCTACTGCATAACTCTGCTCTGTAAATTTAAAACTCGGTTTAAAAGATTCGCTTCTGTTAATATTTTTACGACCATCTTCAAATGTAATTGCCGATACATTTCTCTGGGTCTTTGTTTTACGCCGATAAATAAAACCACCTACCAGTTTAGCTAAGCCTTTAAGAACTCAAGCACCGCCATTGCCAGAATAAATTCATCATTTGAACTTGGGTTTGTTTAAGGCATCCCTCCGTTTGGCCCACATCAAACCGTTTAGCAATCGCAACTAAATGTTACGTTTTCGCCATAAGATTGCACACTGATTGCTTCTAGTTCAATTGTACAACGAGCCCCGGCTTGCATGTTTTTAACCACTATTGGTGAATTTATATTGATACGCTCCACTTGTAAATAGTTTACTCGACCGAATTCAAATTGTTGACGAACTGAGTTTGGTGTACCGGCAAACTGTTTTAGCTGTTCAATTGTTTATCAAGCATACACAGAAATCTAAATAGAAACTATATTTTAAATATGTATATCCACACTAACGACGGAGACATCGTGAGAACTTGAAACACCGCAAACAAACAAAATACGTTAGGATTTTAAAGGACAAGCAAAGGAATACACTTAAACCAATAATGAATGAATTCAAATAGCAATAATTGTTGTTAACAAAACTAAAGGTAGCGAAGAGAGATCGACGCAGCGATTCGTATATTAACTACGCTACACAAAAGTGCGGACTAAGACAAATCGGAGAATTAGGAGGAGGTGCGGCGTATATAGGGTTGATTGTGTACGAGTACATATTAAATATATATTATATATTAAATAGATTTTATTTAGTTTAATGCAATGTGTACTGTATTATATAAAATAAATGCAAAATTATTTAGTGATACATGGCCGATGAAATAATTCTTCGTAGGCAAAATACTTGATGGCGTTTCGGATGTGCTGTGTCGACATTTGCGGTTTGATTTCGCTTAGTCGGCTGCCAAATCGGCGATGCGGCAATAAATGTAATTATTTTAAGCGCATTTTTGGCCGCCACTTGCTTTATAATGCCCCGCAATTAAAATGTATATCACATATGTATAAATCGCATTTCCACACCAAACGAGGCTCGTTTCGGTCAGCCAGTGAAATGGCCACTGATAACATCATCATCATCGCCATCATAACCACCATCATCACCATCATCACTATCGTTATCCTCGACTGTCCAACCTAAATTTTTCCAGCGCTTCCTGGTGGGCGTGCGCTCAAATTTAACAAGCTGCTCCATTATTTATTGCGGTTAAATTGCAAAAACACAGCAGTCAAAACAAGAAAACTATACAGTATACAGGTGTAGGTGCACTGAGGGGATTTTGGTGGTGGATTCATCAAAGTCTACTAAATAGTTGCGATAGAGAAACTAATTGGGTGGCTTGACTATTTTCCACTTGAATTTAAATTTCCATCGTTACTCTACCTTATCGTAGACCTTATCGTACGTTTTTTATAGTGTTTATTCGGGAGCCCCGCAAATAACACCTTCACGGAGCTCTGGGGATTGCGGCTATGCTACTGCAGCCCCCTGGCTGATGAACCCATGCTCCTGGCCCCATGTTCCGTGTTCCCGGGCTCCTGGCTCCTCTGGCTCTCAATGCCTGGCTGGCATCCTGCTGGCTTCGCTTCCGACGCGTGTATTGTTTCGTAATTACGCCGCAAATGGGCGGGGTCATGGGTCGGCGGACGCAGCACCTTTCGACGCCCACCTGGGATCCCGTGGTCGTGGTAGGTGCAACCAATTTTCACTTTCATCCATGATTTATGTGTTCACCGCCCGGGTCGCCTTGCTCAATGGATGCAGTTTTAAAGTTAATAAAGGTAGCGGTCGGCGCTGCTTGTGATTGCTGGAGAGTGCCACTTATTTTCAGCTGTCTGGTGGATGAACATGAATCGGTTTCACTTTTGGTTTTAAAAAACCGTTGCGTTTTATAATTTAATCGATCCTTTCGGCGCTGCCACTGTTGATCGCCCAGTGCTGCCACTTCTATCTGCTGATGCAGCGTTGCCAGATGCTGTTATGTCATTGACAGCTGAGCATTTCTTGTCACTGGCGGCTTGATTTTGTAGAAATTTAAAAAGTTGTTATATCTTGAAGATAACTAAAAGCATTACCATAAACAACTCGAAAAATAAGTAGTATGGCTACATCGCCAGATGTGCGGTGCGTTTGGCAATGAGTTTATGTAATTTCGCACACTAATTTTGGCATCTTCCACTAGAACACCGAGCTGCTGCTCACCCATGCACACCAAGGAACTGCTGGAAAGGCAGAAGTTCGCCAGGTGTACTTCCGGAAAAGGATATCTAACCCCACGAAACCACCAGAGCACCAAAAAGCCAGAGATGCGGATACCTTCCGTAGTCATTACCGATGCCGAGATCGGCTTGGAGCGCCCAAATCAATTGTCAGAACGCCTGAAGAGAACACTATATCAATCAACACCATCAAAAAATGCATTGTTGGCATCCCAAGGCAGGCAGCGAGCCCGGGAAGGACCCAAAACACCAGAGCTCCGGTAATGTGAAATTTCGATGACCTAACTTCTAATCAACCACATTTTTATTCCCAATAGCCGTACCAACAAAACCGTACCCTCAACGGAACCTCGTCCAAAACGTTCTAAGGAACTACTGGAGGATCTTAGGTCCAAGTATCGAGGTGCTTCTGCCACGAAATTGGCGCCCCAATTCAATCGGGAAAACAAAGAACTTTCAAAGAGGTGTGTTAAGGATATTTCTAAAGTGAAATGGCTCTAGAATGCGTTGTCGATTATTTATGTTTTGAATTTAATTATTTTGACTGTTTATTTTGAAAGCCATATGTGCGTAATTATAATCCCTATTCAAATTAAAGTGCTGCTAAATAACAAAAATGGGTTTTTGATGCAGCTTTCCCCATACTAAACCTAGCCCATATTTCAACGCCTAAAGTGATTTCCGCTCTTCGACAGCCATGCATTCATACCAACCTCGGAACCACAGCCTATCCGCCCAAAATTGATCCTCGAACGGGAGCGCCAAGAGTATATAACCAATCGGTTGGTATCAACTTCCATTGACCGCATAAAAACAAAGCCACCAAGGACGAGCTATACATCGAGCAGGCTGCTGGTGCCTCAGATGGGATTTTCGTACCCCAAGGATCCGAAAAGGCTTCACGAATCCAGCAAAGCAATCAAGCTGACCACCTCAAAGCGAAAGTTGGACTTCAAAACTGAGCTGGGGACCGATTTGCTGCGGCGGGAGCTAGAAAAGATTGCAAAGGAATGGCGGAAAAAGACTGACTACCAGTTACGGCAGCTTATCTCGGATTTTGTGAAACAACTAGTGCGCCTCCTACCCTTTAATGGGATAACATTTTCGCATCTTAGCAGGGATTGCTATGTGCAGCAGATGATGGAAGCACTGCAGCAGCTGCAGTACACCAAAAAGGTGAACAAAAGTTGGCTTCAAACGCCGAACAGTGCACAAGCCGTCGCCCATGTGCTGGAATTACTCAATTTCTTGTTGGGTGTCCTCGAACATCGAAAAGGAAAAGGCATGTGTTTGCGCCCTGTTGTTTGTGAAAAGCAGAGAAATGAACAACTTACATCGGCATCTGGTACATCTTATGATGTAATGAGCCTGCAAGAGCAGTTTCAAAATATAAAAATAGAGAAAGAAACTTTAAGCAATTACCAAGCATCTCTTAAGGCGGAATCCCCCGTTTCCAAGGACATTGATAAAGTAAAGGAGCGGAATGGGAATCAGGACTTCGCCACACTCCTGGATTTTCAAAAAGAGAACTTTCATGAACTGCACCTGCATCGTCTGCGTCTTCAGGAGTTTTCCGAGCTCGTGAGCCTCGCCATGATAAAATTAAAACGCTGTTATGAGGGTAACAAGCAAAGCATTGAAGCCTTTAATGAGCAATTACAAGACTTGGCCGACTTCGTGGTTTTTAGAAATAGAAATATCGGCCTCTTAACGCAGTTACATTTGAACGAAAATCCCGAGCAGAAGCAGTTACACGAACGCATGGAGCAACTGCAGCGACTGTATCAGGATAATTATTCAAATCTTCTACAGCTAAACATGAAGCCGCCCGAGGAAAACCCTTAGGCGAACATAAGCCACATCCCTCATTGAATCCCAGTTAATTTAAGCAAATATTTGCGTGTTACGTAAGTTGCACACAGAACCCACCGTCTAAGCTCCCGGCTTAGTAGTTCTCCTGAATTTCACAGATTTATTTAATTGAATTTATCAACCGAAAGTCCCGGCAATGTCCTGGCCTGGATTTAAGTTCGTGTAATTGACATTTAAATGAGTCATCGACAGCTTGGCTACACTAAGTCAAAGGAAATAGCTGCAAAGTTAAGCAGCTTAGCTTTGATTTGCATAAATATTTAAAATTGCTTTACCATTTTATTGGTATATTTTGTGCCATCGTCTCGTTATTTAAAGTTTCCATTATTGTCATACCGTTGTAAGCATTCCATGTCAAGTGGAATAAATAATATTTAAGGAGTCACTTTAATTTCGTAGATAATAGGAATTGTGAAATAATAACCATTAAAACTGGTGTGTCATTCGATTGGCACTTTCTTGGAAAAGGTATAGAACTAGTTTTCACAACTCTACTCAGCTGAGTAGCTGGCCAAGCTCGGCTGCTGCTTGGTTGTGGAAGACTTGTGGATTGGCATTAATTTAGAGGTCCTGCAGCAAGGACGTCCCCTAACGAGGGGGAGTGGCTCGGTGGGCGGCCGGTTGTGCGGCTGTGTGCGTGTGCGTGTGCGTGTGCTGGGGATAGATTTATAATGCGTTTGTGTTTGTGCCCCGGAGTGGAACTAATAATCTTATTACTCAACTGGAAGAGATGCAAGGCAGCCCAGTCCCCGGCACGAGTATAAACTTGGAAACTATGACCGCACCGCACCCGCAAACGGAGCTGTGCAATTAAACAGTGAACTGCATAAATTATTCCAGTGCAACAAAATGTTTAAAGCCCGCCTGCAAATCCTCCGAATCCCGACAGCCGAGTGAGAGTGCGGAGCAGGCAAGTGTAATAAAATACATGAATTAGTGTAATGGAAATGCGAATTCCTAGGGCAAACAATGCCAACATTTCGAATGCAAATTCCCCAGCCAAAAACAACACACAACAAGCTGAATATTGCGCAAATTAAACAATAACAACACGACGCCACTGAGGCAAAAAGCACATACAGCTACACCTCCACCTCGAGTGGCGAAATGTGTGGTCTCAGTGGCAAGAAGGAGCGGTCCAAATTCCAAGACTATGCCATGGAGCACTTAGTCCGGGCCCGACCTGGAAATAGTTATCTGGCCCACATCGTGTGTCATAAGTTGCAGGTTGTACTATGTAGCTCCAACTGCGTGGCCAAAAATGCTCGGCAGCTCCGTCAAGACTGGGCTCCAAAAGTCGGGCCAGAACAATTAAGGCGTGCGGCTTCTGGAAAATGACAACTGGGTGGTGGGTGGTGGGTGGTTTATGGTGTGGCGCTGGTATCGTACATTATTTTCCTTCATAAAACAAACACTCACCCACCTCGCTGCCACACCAGTCACTCACCAAGGAGCAGCATCCGCATCCAGTACTGACAGCTTCGCTGGAGTGAAATAATCGCATATCGTAAACTTTGACTTCCAGCTAATGAAGAATTGCGGAGCCCGAGCCCGGAAAAGCTGCAATTGAGTTAATTAGCCGAGCAGCGAACTTCCAGCAAATGGAAAGTGTCGTGGGGCTCCGGCAGTGGGAGCTCCATTCAAGGTATTTATATTTACATTGCCTCTATGTGCTACTTAAGCAAATTGGATTTAATTCAATCTACCTGGAAGCAATACAGGTCTCTGTTCTCCATCAAATCGACGTTGCAGTATTTCCGCAATTTCTAATGGGTGATAAATTATTGTCAGTTGCTTATCAATTCCTATTCAATTCTTAAGATACACCATTAATAAATAAATCCTTTCTTTCCTTCCCAGAAACAAGAAATAATCTTGTGAAGTTCTATTTAGCGAGAGGTCACTGTACTTTCCCTGTGTTCATGTGGAAACTTTCAAACTCATTCGATTGTCAAACAAACAAAAGAAATTCACTCTCCGATTTTTAAGAGAAAAACGCTCGAGCCAATTTCCCAGTGCAAAGGAAGAATCGCCGAAAATCAAAAGGCACTATTTCTTCGACATCCTTTGTTTTTTTTGTTTTTTCTTTTTTCTCCCAGGCACTAATGGAAAGTAACGATTGTTGCTGTTTAAATTGAAACAGGACGATGCAAGGGGATTCCCCGTGCATCAGGTTGAAGTGCGGCAGCTTTAATTTGGAAATCCCCCAAAGGAAGCGAATAAAATTTGTATGCGCGGCGTTGGTAGCCACTGGATGATGGCGATGACTCGCCGGCTGAACTGTTTTCTATGTGTCCTCCGGTTTAGTTGCCACTCGGAGCGAGAAGGGAAAAACGTCAACTGCAGCGTGACCAAGTCCGCGTCCCCCAATCCCGCCAATCCCCCCAATCCCGCCGATCCAGTCGAGTCATGCGATTGCAATATTTATGCAGTTAGTGCAGCGTTCGCTATATTTGACAGTTGCTCTTCCGCTCGGCTGTAGGAACTCTGGGCCACATCCTTCCAGCCAGCATTACTGTAATGAGCCCAGTTGCGCCGGAAAACCATTTGGTTCCAATGCTAGTTGAAGCCCTATACGATCATAGGATTGTCTGAATTACAATACCCCAACGGAAAATCTATACTTGTTCTGATATATTTTGAGCTCCGAAAACGAGTGGAACTATAAATACTTGTCGAGCCTAGAAATATTAAACATATCGCTTATATTTTTTAGTAAATTAGATCTTTAGCAAAAGCATACTGCTGCACCTTCCACAGCTTTGCGTTAAACTCCCATTTGCAGTAATTTGTTTCGACTATTTCACTTCCGCGGCAGTGCATTAAAGTTTCGTTGTGGCGAGTGTAATTGTTATTGCTCAATTTTTTCTGCGCATTTCAGCGGTTTTCGGCTCTGGGAAGTTGCTTGCTTAGTCGGGCGTGCAGCAAGGACGCAAGGATGCCAGGATGGCCAGGACGTTGCTGCAGCAGGTGGCGCGTGCGTTTGCTCGAACGGCAATTGCATTATCAGTAAATTATATCTGCGGCGGTCCGTGGCCCCCATTTGCCGACTTTTCCCTTTGCCAGAGCCGACATGTTGGCCATGTTTACGGGTTGCCTGCGGCCATGTTTGCCAGCTCCTGCTGCTCCTGCTGCTCCTGCTGTTCCTGCGCCCTTGCCCGCTCCCTCTTCCCAGCCAGCACCCATTGTGTTGCTGAGCCGGATCCTGGTCTGTTGTTGCCGCTTGTTTGTGAACCATTTTCGGCGCTTTCCTGCTGATTTATGCAAAACTGTGGCATTTTTCAATTGCATTTTACACTCGTCCTGCAAGTTGCGCCACCAGCTCCGGATCCTGCCGGCTCCGTGCTCCAGGACTCCGGGGTCCTGTTTCCTTTCGCTTGTTTGTGTTGTACAATTTTCACACATTTGTGCAACTTTTGCCACCGAAATGCGCAACACATTTGCCCCGTCTGTTCCATCTGGAGGAGCAGCATCTTCACAGGACCAGCCTGCCAGCCTGCCAGCCTGCCTGCCTGCCTGCCACCCAGCCACGCCCACCGACCGCACACGCGCCCCCTTCCTGGCACTCAACTGCATTTTATTGCCACAGATACAGCTGCGTGTGTGTTTGTGTGTGTGTGAGCTAGGGATCCGTGTATCCACGATATCCACGCTCGGTTTTGCGCATTTAATGCCAAGTTATAACTTTCACGTGGGTTGCTTTAGTAGTTTTCACCCAGATGCAGATGCCCTGTGCCCCGTGCCCCGCGCCCCGTGCCCTCTGCTCCTTCCCCCAAGTTGCCCCTGAATTACGTTGCCCCATAAAAAGCACCCGGCGGGTAGTAAGTGTCACTTATGCATAGAAGATTTGCGATGCATTTTTCAATGTTTAATAAACATAATTTCAGCGCAGTTTATCATGTGACAAGAGCATAAAATCTTTCACTTTTACAGCCAATTGTTTATGGCCCACTAAAGGACAGATTGATATGGAAAATAGATTGGCAAGGTTATTATTGTGGTTATTGAGAGCAGAGTATAAAATTGTCGGCGGATAAGGCAGCTAATTAGTGGGCTCTTTGAGAACTAACGAGTTTCCATTAGTCATCGGCCCACCCTCGCTGAAAAACAGCTTGCGAATATCACGTTTTGATATTGGGTGATTTACTAAAATATCCCTGAGGAAAATTAAGATCTTGTTGAAATAGTTATTTTGAAAACGTTTTCATATCCACCCTCGCCAGCAAATGAACTCTGATTTTCAAGCGTCAATTTTCCAGCTAATTGCCAAAATAAGCTAAATTATGTGACGGGCGGCTCGAACACTCCCCGTTTTTTCCATTTCGATGCAACGAAATTGCACTGGCAATGCAAATTATGCACTTTGACAGGGAACGCATTTAGTGTTAATCATACGCACTGTTGCCGCTCGGCAGTCGAACGCCACTTGCTAATTTGATGCTCGCAGGCGAATGCACAGGTAATGAGGACTACTGCGGCAGGGGATTGCAGACATAATATTATCGAGTTTTCACGCAAAATAATTAAATATATATACTTAAATGCCGCATGGGGAAATCCGATTTAGGTGGAGTTTTTAGCAAACAAATTTATTGGCGCATAATTCAAGGCGGCGCTGATGCCGCTGACGATGATGCATGGCGAGCCAGTAGCCAGCTCAAGATATGAATGGATGCGGCTGGCAATTTATGGCTGGGTGAGGGGGTGGAGCGGGTGGGTGCGGCCAAGGCCGCTTGCCGTTCGCCATGCGCCGCTGCCGTGGCTGCCAAAAGCAGATCGCAAAAGAAAACGCCTGCCGCCTGACGACGGCAGAGCGGAAACGGAAATGGAAATGCGCAAATGCAATTGTCACACACACACATACGCGCGCTCAAGCAGCAGTCGGGGTGAAATTTTAATGGAAAATTGGTGTACTCGTCGTGGCTATAAATGAAGCTAGCATTTCTATACGCCCGGCTAATAAAAGGCCAAGTCCGCCGGAGTGACAGCCAACAAGGGCCAGGAAAACAGGGCTCGAAACACCGAAGGGGCTGGCCCGGCCCCCCTCTGGTAGCCCTCCCCCCTCTGACGTCACTGCCGCTGGGCGG